CAAGGTGGGATCAACGCGAGGGGTTCACCTGCGGTTACATAAGATGGCCAGTCCCAGGTACTTTATCACAGAGGATCTCAGAATCCAAACCTTATCAACAGTAAGAGATGAATGGCTGCTGAACACTTCGTCGTACATCCCTCTCGGATGAACGGTAATCAATATTCTAACGCTGTTCAACTCCGATACTGTCCCAGTAATAAATTTCAGTTTGCCCCTTAGATTTTCATTAAGGCCCTCTACGTTGTATGTACTTAATATTAGATTTTATGAACAATGCTTGAAAATTTATGCAATTGACATGCAAGAAGAAGAAAAACAGGGAAAGTGAAGCCTTTTGAAAATTTTGTCAGGATAGGTATGGAAACTTAATAGCCCAAGTGAATACACTCGTAAAACAGTTTTCCAGAAGCCAAAATAAACCACCAAAGCACTAGCTTCAGAAAGGAATGTCACAAAGGCGTTCTGTCGGTTCTGTCAAAAACAAAATCGTAGTCCGGAAATAACAACCCCTACAGTGTTATCACCATTAAGTGGAGGAACGAATGAGTGTACTAATTAAGCACTAGAATGCAAAATCAAACGTGATCTTCGAAAAGACAACTGATAGCAGTCACCAGTGTGTTCCTTCATTCAGTTAAGAACACCTTTTCAAACAGTCTGCAAACTACAGGTGTGCACGCAGTTCTCTATATACTTTACCAGCATATCCTTAGGTGTCGGTGTACTGCTTGCCAGTCTAAAATAATCATATATCTCTTCAGCTGCAAGACGCCAGCTAAACAGAGTGGTTACGGTGGTTTAGTGGAGATGTCAACTCAGACTCTTAACAACCCAGGTAGCCATGGATAAGAACTAGTAGCTCTTCCAACCTTGAATTCAATCAGCTGCTTGTGCACGTCATCACTCATAATGTCGGCGGTCTCTTCAAAAACAAGTGAATTTGGCTGACTGGTCAGCTACGTCAAAAAACTCGCGACTGAGTCTATCCAGGCCACTGTCGAGAAAAAAATCTCTGGGATTAGCGTATATACACTCATTTCCAATCTATTTTTTTTCGAGAGACACCTGAAACCTAGCCTAATCTCTCGGTTTTGACGTTTCCAGGAGTTTTCAGCAACCTTATGAGTAGTGCATTACAAAATCTCAGGAATTATTACCACATAGCTGTTTAGAGGTACTCCAGTTTGTGTCAGTCATTTTACCTAAGGTTTAGGGAGAGAATGAATTCAAAAATCTTTCTGAAAATAACAAATGCTGCTCAATGGATAGAGCTTATTTGAAATGTGGTTCAAAAGGAAAGCTTCATTTCAACAAGACAAGGCAAATTTGGCTTCGTAGATGGTGATAGAAGCGTTACTTCTTTTGCAAATCGAATCAGCAGATAACTTCTGCATCCAATCAAACTGGACTTCATCCTCTTTGCTCCACTCCACCCAAGACAGGAGGATGATTGCGTGAACAAATTGCATTGAATTTTTAATAAATTGTGAACACTGACTTTTTCCTAGGCTGGATTTTTTCAAAAATTTCATGCAATGTATCAATATGGATGGTGGGAAAATCCCACTCTGCAACCCCGACCACTGCAGAAGAGAAAACTATAGTTGAATGGATCGGCCCGGTCGAAGAACAAGTGAGTTATAAACGACACTTTATCTGGTGTTTGGGGATATGCTTGACAAGTAGAGCATATATGGGTGTGACATTAGAACTGAGGAGAAACTGTTCGGATAGACATAGGTTAATTGTTCGGTTGGGGAATAAGAAGATGTCGCAGGATTCATTCGTTCAGGGAATCGATAAGGCAAATCCTGTGGAGCATTGTCTGCATTCCCAAAGACATATTCATACGGATTGGTTAGTTTCACCAAAGCTGTCGATGGTTCGTTGTTTGTAGTTGGCCACTTGCTGAAAGACTGAACTGAACTCGGTGACGAAACTTCGATCTGGTCCAATGCTGAGGAAAGAGGATACTTTGAGCTGATTGTTCCACTGGAGTTTGATGCTTCGAGTTGTGATACATCTTTGCGTTCCCTGGCTCGTCGGTTTTGAAACCATATTTTAATCTGAAAACGAGAAAAACTCGTCCGTTGATTGTGTTGCCTATGAGGAGAAGCTAACACATATTTCAGTTTAAGTTGGAAACGCCACCTAGTAACACACAACACAAACGCCGATTTGATGGATGCAGATATAAGAAAAAACGGTTGCCGGTATCGGCTGCTGTTGTGGTGCGTACAGAGGAAAAATAAACATTTGGCAAAAAGACATTAGTTCTATTAACTATTAGTGTAATGCGTTAAAAACACTCAAGATACTGGATAACTAGGACTAGGAATGCCGAATCTATGTAGCTCACTTCTAGTGTCCACTGAGCACTATTTTTGTAATGAATTATCATTTAATCAGACAAGAGGAATGAGGAAAGAAATCCAGTTGACAATTTGGCTTTGTCTGTGTGGGTACTGCCACCATAAGTTCTCCCGTCGTTTGCCGGTTGCTTTGACATTTTCCAAGTAAATATCCAAAAAAGACCTGCTGATTTCTGTCTCTCAGATCTTTGTACATGAGCTACGAAACACTGATTCCTTACTCATTGACTAAACATGCAGTTATGAGGCCAAGCACCCGGTCATTTAACTATCACACTCCATTGGAGAATGGGCGGCTTGATTTCTTAGGCGGAATAAACTTACCATATGAAAGGCAGAGCTGGTGAAGTCAGTGTCAACCTCACTAAAATTTACTTAGATTTACAGGAGCTCATCTGCAGGGAAAAAACAACGGATATCTAACAACTAGAAAGTCGCACAATCATGCTTTAATCAGCAGTTTTTTTAGCAGTCCTATGGAATTTTACAATATGGAGTCCGCGGTGGTATGTTAAATACGTATGTGAATCGGCTTCTTCTAAACACAGACGAAGTAATGTACCGGACCGGTTGAACGCAATTATTCTCAGTCACCTGAAATCAGTACAACGATTAACGCGTTACGATTGTCTGTCAGGGCTGGGTGATTTTTTCCGTTCACTTCAAATTAAAATGGATGCATAACATGACTCTGAAGTTCTGTTTGTCAAGTGAATGACATGACCTACGAAGTAACGTAGATGTGTTTCATCTGCAGGAAACAAATTTCGGCTGAAATCTCCAAAGCTTCTCCTACTACCAACAAACTATAATTACCTCAGAAGGGGAATGAATTTGTAAAGTTCGTGGACTCTCCATCTCAGGAGTCGTTAGTCGAGGATCCAGTCAGCATGTGACCATGTGATCTGCATTCCTCGATTGTATGCTGATTGGCACCATAACCTAAATGCGAGTTAATCACATTGCTGATCAGCTGCTCGTCCCGAACGGCCTAACGTTTAACCATTAGCTGGGAGGTGGCGGGTTGGAGATTTCATGGACTTTCGTGAGATTAATACTGCTGGTTAATCCCATTAAGAATGACTGTTTTCATCCTATTTAAACGCGCAAGTTTTCGATTCTAGATCCGTGAAAAAGAAAACTAGCCACTTAAGTTTTAGTGTGACACGGACTAATCATCTGCTGGGTTGGGTCGACTATGTCTGTACTTTGACAATCCCAGACGCCTTGGATTTATCCATCCAAGGAACATTCTAGGTACGACAATGTGATGTCGTTGCTTTCCTGTAAAATTTGACTTCCACACTAGACTGCAATTGGTGAAATATGCAACTAGATGTTGGGACAATAGAGACATCATATCATAGTTTGGAATAATCGACCAACCAATTCAAAGGACACGGTTCGGTGAACGTGAAATGTACCCAGTCTAAAGAAACTGCGGCGTTCCCTCTGAAGTATTTTACTAGCCTATGTGACAGGATCCCGTTCAGAAGCGCAGTTTGAATGCGATGGGTTGTCTGCACTCTTTGGTGAATATCATATATTCTGCTGCGAACGAAAGCGCATCACATGACATCGATAATTTCTTCTGCTTATCAGTCAGATGGGTACAACCTATCAGCCAAGGCGCACAACCCTAATGCAGTCGGACACATTCTTTGGCTGTTTGTCATAATGCACGCATTAGATATGACCAGTATTATGGCATAACAAGAACCTGTTTAAAATCTAGTTGCCTGAAGTTCTATCCAACGGTCAATTAACTATCCTAGTTGATACATTCAGTAAACACCAGAGCCTCTCACCAGAGCCTCCCACTCAGCTGATGCAACGGACCATATGAACCAAATGAGCAATAGTAAGGGTTCAGTCAGCCGCGTCCTGATCTAATTTTTCGGTGTATTCTTGAAATGGTGGGGAAAAGAATGTAGAAGAGGTTACAGCTCTTAATCTGATTTTGAAAACACATCTAGTCAGAAATTTTGCTAAATTTACTCAGTAAATAGTCACTGTATTCGCGTCATGTATTTTCAACTAACTGTCGTTGAAACAAACCCTTACGTCTTTTGTAGACTTCGGTTGATCCCTTCAGCGAAAAATTTCAGCGTTCTGGTCGCGCCATCTGGCTGCACTTTTAATGCGTGTAAAAATGTAGCTTGAGTGACACCAGATGGGACTATAGGATTTTCACACACCCCAGTCAACTGAGTGCTGGTGTCTCTCACGGTCTTTGGCTGTATAGTTCACTACTGTCAAATTGCGTAGTAACATGAAACGACGTCAAAATTACACCCAGCTCACTCATTTACACACTAATACGGTCTCCACAAAAGACTCACCTGAATCCAAACTGAATTTCTCGTTCATGATATTCCTCAACTGAACGCACCATGCTTCAGTTAGTACGATAATCGGAATAACGCAGTATATTCTTATAAAAGGAACTACTCAGAGGGTTGCTGGAAGCTCAACAGCCCACGACTATTATTGCACTTCTTGGTACCCATCAGGTAGGCGCAGTCACAAAATTTCCCTTAACCTCATGTTTTACTTGAGTCTAAACCACATGAAATTCACCAGGCATTTGCAGATTAATTTTGGACTATATCTATCGGATGTACCCTAGGAGCTGCGAAACCGGTCGTGGGCTGTCGAAGAGTTTTCGGCAACGTTAATAAAATGTTTCGTGATCACTCTAATATCGTACCAACTGAGATATGAGGCGGCCTGATGCAGCACATTCAGTTGCCCAAGAACATCCTAAACGAGAGAATTAACTGGGTTCCAGGTGAGTCTCCCGTTCGAACCACAATGGTATACGGATGAGTTTATAAGTCGTGCAATTTCGTTTCAAGTAGAACATAAGGTTGAAGGAAACTCGAGGACTGAGATATCTTAGCTGATTCCCATCGGATAGCTTTCAGCTTCGTGCAACGTCTATTTATCTTATCAATTTTAAAAATTCTGCACACAATAAGGCTTTTCACGACTTATAAAATAACTAGGCAGCTTTCTCAGGGTCTGGTGAATACAAAAGTCAAGGCAGAAAGATGACACAGCAAAGCAGACTTCACTTAATTCTTTTCGTGTTTTTGCGACAAAACCTTAATGCGTCAAGTGGCTAAGACAATTGCTCACGGAAAACAGACGATACATTCAAGCAACTGTTATTAACACTCGAGCGGTGACCGGAGTCTCAGGTGAAGTCCAAAGTTTGCCCAAAACAGTCGTGTGCAGTCTAGCTCGTGGTTAAAAGGAAAAACTGTTCACGTAAGCAGTAAGGTTGAAAGAGGAATACGGGGCAATGTGATTTAAACAAACAGGGCTGTTGTCAGTGCGTTCGGTTGCGAAATCAAGGCATGAGACGGCTGCTAGGTAAAATAAGAAGGGAGCGCAGGTAGCGACTGTGTATTGCAGCAACTGACCGAGACTTCCGAATGGGTTGTAAACAGTTATGCAAAAAACAATATGCAGAAAGTTAATCCGACCACTTATTGGTCGATGCTCCAAAAGAATGATTCCGATGCATTCCTTTGTCGCCTTCTTCAACTTTGATAGTTTACTTCACTCGCTGTTGAGAACATAACTACGTGCTGGTTTCTGGTATGATCACCCAAAGTTGCGGCTCCTTTCGAGGATTGAAGGTTTGGTCCGTGTCAAACCGTTCTGTATGAATACTCGATACCACTGCAGTGAACCACTTTAAGTAACTGTAAGTTGGTTGGAGCCGCGTGACTGTTGCCTTGTCCGGCTTCTAAAGCTTTCATGATTGCGTAGTCAAAACAGAGGTGACCGTTCTTGTATTTCCAAGCTTCTGGGTTACAAGGTACGTTGAAATAGAGTACTGTGTGACCGTAGCGTAGCTAATTCATCTCAGCTCCTACGGTGACCAAACCCCTGAGATTATTTAGAAAGTGGACACCCCAAGCCCATGTTGTGATTTTACGTGCAAGGAGAGTCGTCAAGGATGAAACCTGAAGAGCAGCGAACGGCCGACACAGGTTCATTTGTGTTCAGAAAAAATATTAGGAGGGTATTTGGTACCATTTAACTACGAAATTCTGCTTTGAAAATCACAGAGTACATCATTCAGTCACGTTACAGACTTTCGTGAAAGAAGTAAACATCGTTCAGTAAACAAACATTTCAAACATGGGCTTGCCCTACAATATATTTCACGTGCACATCAGGACGAATTTAGGGTTAGTCTTGCTAAAACTTTCATTTATGACGTTCATGGAGGTAGCATCTGTCAGTCCGTATCAAGAGATTACAGTATTATCTCCGAAGATTAGCGTCGCGCTGCAATTCGAAATTTGGCCCGTCTGGCAAGCTACAGGATGAGTATGATTTCCACAGTTCTAGGATAACTGCTGGGCAAGAATTTACGCAATAGCAGCTTGTAATCGGATCCAAGCATCCGATCCCTTTCTATCTAAGTCGAAATGACTTGACAGACGTATATCACTAGGTGAGATCTTAATCCAGCTCCGAAACTAAGGGAAGCAAGTTGAGCCAGCCGCATTGCACGCACACCTACGCAGCCTGATGTGGTTTATTCTACAGAGAAAATGTGAGTGCTTTATTTAGTGGGATGTTGTGCCAAGTTCCTGAAATGACAACTGATCCCTCCAGAGAAAGGATAGGCGACCTTGAAAAATTCTCTTAGTTTTACGCTGGTCTTCAAGTTGTCAATCCTTGTACGATACAGTGTTGTGCCGCCTGACTCTTCGGGGGAGGATATGAGAGGGCGAATTGTCTGAATCTCTGGTTTAAGCTATTCTTCAATTATGCGTTTCGCGAAAAGGCGCTTCAATTTTCATTGGGTAAGATATTCGAGATATCACAGTATATCTTCTTGATGGAATGCACCACTCAGGTAAGCTAAGTCTCCGAGTTTTACTCGGACACCAAACTACACACAAAATTAACACCAAGTTTACTTGGAAATTAGTAGATGTCACCAATTACATGCAGTTTTGAGTTCAGATAGAACATGAGGCCGACGGACACTCGTGGACTATCTAGCTAACGAACTTAAAGAAGTGCGAAACCTGTTGTCAGCTATCGAGTGTTCAGCAATTTGTGCCAAGTAGTGCGTTCCACCAAAAAAGGGAAATTATGTTCGAAAAAATGTCATATATACACAGTGCTTCGAACGTGCCATGCAAATACACAAACAATGTAGTTAAACAACTTGGTTCCTGAGCACTTGGGAAGTCGTAAACAAGTAGCCAAGAAAAAAGGCTGTCTTATGCCACAGTTGAGCTTGACTGAAACATTATTTCAAGTTACACTACTTTTATAGTATCTGTAAACAGACCTCCGGTTCTAGTACCGTAAGCTACTTCCCAGTGATAACTTACTCGGTTCTCCGCCAGACTAAGTTTGCTGGATAACTGGTATACTTCCATTCCACTAAGGTAATGAGTCTGTTGGAACTTGGTCTCTAGAGCGTCAACTTGAATTTTTGTGAAAGGAATTCGTGGACTTCGACTTTTAACCGACTTCAGAGTGTGCAGACGTGGTAGAGAGTCCCCCTTATCGTAGGATCCGATGTCAGCAGGAGAAGTTGGAGGAGTAACTGTGAATGTGGACAGAGATACAGGCGGAATTAGACGATGGGTGGATTATCATAGCAGAACCACACAACCACCTGACAGAAATTTTACTCTCACCCAACCAACCCTCTTCCAGTGACCTTGCAGATGATTTGTTAACCTGAAAGTTGTATGTGATAGATCACTCCTTCTAAAGTGATAAATATTTGCTTTGTCATTTGTCATCTGGACCAAATAAATGAGGGATTATCCAGGCTCTGTGCCAAAGTATCTGTGTCATTTTTACGAACTGTGGAGTCGCCTGTGTTATTAGGAGCCGAAAAATTAAAAACGTTTGTAAGTACAGTGGTGTCAGGAGCGGTCTGGTAAAGGAGTTGATTCAATTGACCCAGCTGTGTACTGTAGGAGTTTTGAATGCTCTTAAGAGCGAACGGTTTGTAAACTCTGATCACCCAGATGTTCAGACCAAATAAGCTCTCAATGAAAAGTGTGGTATTTAAGGTCTTTCGAGGAGATAGTTCATTTCAGGAGCATCTAATATTGCCTTAAACATGAGCTAAAAACTTTATTCAGCCGTGTTCGACCGACAAGGACCAAATTAATCTATCCACGAGTCATCCACGGTCATCGAAATACTGTGCTCTGACCCCATAGGTAGAGGTGTGGAATACAAACAGAGGTATTCTTGACCTGTGTAGTGCTTACTTGATAGCCAGTAAGAGATTTGGAGTACTCATGACACTATTTTACTAACCTTTTTTGGGAAAATGTATCAAAAAACTTTGTCCACTATGAAGGGGGATGTCATTGCAGACAGTGAATTATGTTGTAGGCGTCTCTGGCAAGTCACTCTATATTAAGAACAGAGAGGCTATTTTCATTCTTTCAAGACGGTCCTGAATAATCCTGTGGATTGTCTGTGACTAACCTACTGAACACAAAATCATAATTAGTCAGCTTGAATAATTCAAATAAAAAAACAATCAAAGCATATCAGCTTTGATTGCATTTTATTGCAGGCTGGGCCTCACAGTACTGCCCGTCAGTGTCACGAAACATGGAACACACAGCATTACATCATGACAATCGCTTGAAATATAATAATGTATCTTGCTCCCCAGTGTTTAGTGACCAAAATAATTGGACCTTTGTAATAACAAACTAGTTTACTAGGAATCCATGGCATCATGAAGTGCTTCATCCTAATAGCCTTGTGCTGCTCATGTTCTCCGGCGACAGGTGAAAACAAAAAACTATGTGCGACGCAGACACCGCGCAGTCAGAAGCTACGTACCACGAAGCTATGGATCTGGTATGCTCAAGAATCAGGACGGGTATCTGTGATGTACCGCGACGTCCTATGATGGAGAACTGCTGATCCCGTGTAATTTGGTTTCAAGTAGAACACAAGGTTGACGGAAACCCGGGAACTGTGCCTAACTGGCGAGCCCCAAAAAGGGCGAAACCGGTCGTGGGCTGTCGACGGATTTTCAGCAACCTCATGAGTAGTACATTACAAATATATACATGTATCGCGATACCTCGAATGTCATAGCAACTGAAACATGAGGAGACCTGGCGCAGCACATTCAGTTGCCTGAGAACATCACAAATGAGAGATTCAGCTGGGTTCCAGATGAGTCTTTCGAAAAACCAAATTAATTTGCAAATGAGTGTATATTCGTTAACTGCAAATCCAGTCAGAACAGCTTAGGTCTCTGTGCGCGCTGCATCAAAAGTGTTGAAGCATCTCACTTTTCCCAACGTCTCTCATCCCTGTTAATTGAATGGCGTAAATGTTTGTCAGCAGGTGACGAATGCAGTCAGGGGCAGAATCATAAGCTAATAGGGTATTTAAACGAATGAGCTTTACAATGGTTAAAAAATGAACTTGACAAGAATATGGGACAACTTGTTGTTAGCATCGTGTCAAGAGATCTCAAAGAGTTGGAAAGAGATTTCGACAAATACACTCACTTGCTTATCTGTTTGGTTTTGACGAGAGTCTCACGCGGAACACAGCTTAAATCGCTCGTTCACGATGTTCAGACGTAATACACTACTCACAAATTTGCTGAAAGTCCTTCGACATCCCACGACCGGGTTCCCCCCTTT